TGCTGACATGTTTTACACGTCTCATGTATTTCAAACGTATCATGTTTGATTTTTCGTGACGACCCTTAGTCTATACGCAGCACCTACATACCTTCAATTTTTAAAATTTTTATTTACTGAATGAAATACAGCTATAGTCAGTGTACATACCTGTCACTTCTGTTTATAGATAAGTTGTGCTTAGAAAGAAGACACACTGTTCTCCACACCACCACTCCCTCCTTGCTTAGAGAGGAAAGGGGTAAATTCCTTTCCACAATACTGCTCCTAAGCAATTATCCTGGAAAAGCAGTCAGTTGGGGCTCCAGCTATCGTCTCTACATTTCCTCTCCTCTGATCAACAAGGGAAGCAGAGGTGCCCGGGATCTGCCAGGATGCCAAATGTTCAGAACATCGACTTTCATGCATTTCTTTCTTTACTGTGTGGTTTCCACTGTTTTGGTCACCAGCCAGCCCCAAACAGGAGATACACATAAGAGAAAGACGATTTTTAAAGTTTGCTTTTTTGTCTTTCTGCCCCCTTTTCCAAGATGATGTGGTGCGACAAATTGGGACAAAATTGTATTTGTGGCTGATTTTTCTATTCTTAATTTGGAACATAGTTTGATGAGGAATTGGATGGCATGGAGGAAAAGGGTGATTGGAATAATTTTGAATTTCTCCATCGTTTGCTTTTTTTTAGCATCTAACTTTTGGGGGTGGTGGGGAAGGGCATGTGAAGGTGAAATACTTAAAAGAAATTGCAGCAGCAAAAGTAGAGGATAAAAAGTTTAATGAAACCATACATTCTTAGCATTCATGGAAAAGGACAGCATAAAACCTGAAATAAAATTACACCAGATACCACAATTTGTGAAAGTCTTAAAGGAAAAAAAAGGGACTCATTTGGAATTTATTTTTTTTTTTACCATTTTGCTTAATGTCCACATTATCTGGTTCTACATGAGACACAAATAACTAAAGTTCCATTTCATCCAAGGAGTTTTTCTCCTCCTCTAGTCGTATTTAATCATTCCATTTATATCACTTCCATTTATTATACTGAGTCTTACATGAAATGTCAATTAAGAGCATAGATTTTTAAATAATTTAATTAAATCCAATTTTCTATTTCATTGT